GGGGGGGGGGGGGGGGGGGGAGTTCCGTCGTGTTTTTACACGGACGCAAGATGACCAACAACCCACGACTTGGCCGCTATCGGAACTGGCTCTCAATGAGACCACTGGCGTATGAATGGATGGGATGAATCGGCTCATACATAGAGAGACGTAATAATCCGTCAACGGAAAGCGGTGCATTTACCACATATTAGTCGTAATGAAAGAACCAAAATAATGATACCAACAGAATGATAAGAGACAAGCCAACGCTTGTTCACTGCCTCAAGACTCTTTATGATCCTCTTTATTCCATCTAATACAAGAGTAGCAGTAATAGTATAACAACATAAACCCTCATTATCTAGCCCTCGCGCCCCTCCCGTCTTCCATCATACAAAAAACCTCATCCAACCATCATCCAATCCTCCCATCCAACCCCTTTACACGCCAACAATTACACATGCTTATCTCCTATCTTCAAAAGACGGCCCCCTCGACCCCGGCTGTGACGCACTCATCGCCCTCTCCCACGCACTATCGAACCCGGCCGTCGGGTCCGGATTAGGATCCACAACCACCAAGCTCTCTTCCACGCCCGCTGTCGGCCCAGAAGCACCTAGTGACTCTATCAAAACCGCCGACTCCTCAACTGGCCTTTCCGGCCTTTCTCTCCTACTTCCCCTAGGAGCGGGAGCCGATGCTAATGCAGAAGCAGAAGCAGAAGCAGCGGCAGGAACACCAGCATACTCCTCACTAGCGATTTCCGCCTGCCAATTACTACTATAAACCACCGCCGCGAACCCCTCCAAGTCTCTCACGCCCTCCATAGCCTGGAGGTACTCATTCGGCATACCATTACCGATGGCGTGAGCCTGGCGGGTGAGAATCGAAAGAATCTTGGGAAGCAAAACGGCGCGGGTGATGGGGCGTTCGATGTCGATGCTTTGGCGTCCCGCGTTGTGGAGGTCGGAGGAAGTGGCGACGAGGGTCGTGGAGGTTACCACGTCCTCACCAGCCGCGGCGGCTTCGGGAGTGAGGGTGACGGCGGGCGGGGGGACGGCGGCGGGAAGGGAGGGGGTTTCGAAGGCGCCGACGGTAAGTTTGTTGTCGAGGAGGACGGTGAAGCCTTGGTCGAGAAGCTGGGCGAGCACGGAGGAAAATGCGGGGGACTCGATCAGGTCGGCAGTCTCGTCGAGGAGGCGGCGGAGGGAGATGGTGGTTTCGCCTTCGGGAGTGGGTGCGCTGGGCATGGGGAAACCCTGGGATTCGTCGAGCAGGATGCCGGATTCGCGGAGGACAAAGTCTTCCAGGTTTTGCGGCGGGAGGAGGAAGGGGAGCCATTGTGTGCTGACACCAGAAGAAGAAGAGCCTTCGATGATGGTGCGCACCTCGCGGGTGAGCTTGGAGAAGGCGTCGAACGTGATGGTGTCGCGAGGCGAGAGGGGGCCGAAGACTTGGCGGACCGCGGACTCGACCCGCTGCATGACGTCTACCCAGCCCCGGTTGAGAAGCCACCAGGAGAAGGTGAGGTACTTGCGGTTGACTTCAAAATCGGAGCCGTAGGCTTGGCCTTCGCCGTCAAAATCGCCGTCGTCGTCGTTGTTCTCGAGCGCAATGGCGCCCTCGCGCACGGAGCCGGTGGCGAGGGAGACGACAGAGGAGAGGTAGCTGCGGCGGCCGAGGAGGTTGAGCTGGATCCGTGTGAGCATGGTCAGTAGACCGAGAGTGTAAATCAAAGTGAAGGAACGGGTAATTGCTGTTCAGTATTCTGTTAGTACGGTCAACTGGGAATATGTAGGACGGCCAGATGCTCACAGCTGATCTTGAGGTCATCCCAGAGCTGTCTCTTAGTCTTCCGCGGCTTCTTGGGCGCCTCTTGTTGGGAAGCATCGCCGGCCGATTCGCCCTCGGCGACAGGCGGTAGAGGTCCTGGGGCCAGGAAGCTGGGATATGCACCACCCTCGCTCTGCACACTGAATCCGCTGATCATACTACGGCCATCGTCGTCCATGGTGCCGACCTCTGAAAATGTTGATGGGGTGAGAGAGCTGATGCTCTTCTTTCTGTTGGCTGGGCTCTTCATCTGCTGGATCTCGTATGTGATCCTTTCGGTATTGAGGGCCTCAAGGATGTTCGTCGTGGCGGTAGGTAGGAGGGCGAGGACGGTAAAGGTGCAGTCCTCCTGGTTCTGTTCGAAGCGGCGTCGCAAACTGTCGATAAGGGGGTTCAGGGGTTAGCCGGGAACGACAACGACATTGTTTGACTGAACATACTTCTCTTTGGCTATGCGATCACTGCTCATGCGCTCGCGCGCATCGTTGAGCTTTCTCAGGACATACTGGGTCGCGACGTAGCCGGCGCCGACAACACCAGCGCCGATGGCCAGAGGTGTGCGATTGCGCTTGAACCACCGCCGCGTCGAGGCGAGCATGGCGGCGATTGGGAATTGTAGGACGGCAAGCTCAATTGGTCGTCCCCTGTCTGTTGTATATTCTTTATAGATGGTGCATATGTAATCGGCCGGTGTCGTATGCGATGCGTGGCCGTCGAATATCGAGTTTGCAGCTAGAATGGATCTCGAAGTCTGGGTCCTTAACGGTGAAGAGCCCCCCCTAGCTTCAGCTAGATTCGGGAGTCCAGGTCGCGCCCCCCGTACTGTATAATCCATCGGCAGCGGATACCCCGTAGCGCACTGATAACCTCGGCTCGTGGCCAATCTGATAGGGCTGATTGATCCTTGCTGGGACCCTAACCCTGTCAGTTGAGTGTTGCGTTTTGTTACCATCCGTAACGTATGTAAGTTACGACTGGGTCCAGCTCCGGTCGAGCTCCGACAGGGGTAAGAGTCGCCAAGTTCACTCGATCTGGTCCATTTTACCGTCATTATAACTGCTTGACTCTGGATAAGTAACTCTGCGCATCTCGCTCGCTCAGGTCGTCGATTGGGTGCTCATGGTGCGTTCGGTTTCTGAAAAGGGGGTCAAGCTGCTGATGTCATTTCTCTTTCTCAAAGGAGCAATCCCAGTCTTCAATCCCCAACCAAATCCGGGGCATGTGGGGCTCGTTGCAGGCAGCGTTGGGCTCCGGCGACCCCCGGGGTCCCACAGGTCCCGCAAGTTGACAGGGAAGTTGGACCCCAGAAAGGGCACAACGTCACACCACCACCAATCCGCCAAAAACCGCCCTTGTCCTTAACAACCGCTCTTTGACCGCCCAGCCAGCCGCCCCGAAGCCGCGTCAGGGAGATCACTGCACACAAGACTTGCAGAGGAGTGCAGAGAACTGTTCGTTGCGGGTGACTGCGTTTTGTTTGATGCTTGTTGCCCCTCATTTTGTCCCATCCATTGTTGCGCATTTGTATCTTTCCGCCCGCCGTCCGGTACCTTTTAATCGATAATCAATTTACCCCTCCAAACCATCCATACAATCCTGCCACCGCTTATCACTGGTCGCCGACGGTCGCCTGCCGTAATCGCATGACCTGAAGTCAGAAACCGGAAAGGGGAAGAAGAACGAGTAGAACGACGAACCGCCGGACTTCCCTCCACCAAAAACCTCAGCCGCCGCGAAAGGGACGAACCGCCGTCATCCCAGTCAGTCAGCATCCAGCGAGAGACCAGACCATTCCATACCAACCAACCAACCAACCAAATAATCACCATCTGTATCGATACCGATACCCGCAAACCGCACAAACCATGGAGAAAGTCGCGCCCGAGTTCACCCTTGAAGCCTTTGCCGACCCGGCTTCCGTGCGCGACGTCGTCCGCGGCATCCTCCACACCATCTTCTTCCTGCGCTACTTCGTCTCCCACGAGCCCAAGACGCGCGACGTGTGCGGCCTCGAGCTGGCCTACATCCCCGACGCCGAGATCGAGACGCTCATCGACCAGCGGGTCGCCACGCTCGTGCGCCAGCTCGAGGTCGACCGCAACCAGTCTTCGTCGTCACAACATCACTATGGCGGTGGCCCGGGAGCCAGTTATAGCGGAGGCGGCGGTGGAGGGCGCGGGCAGATAACGGTGCAGTTCTTTGAGAAAAAGCGGAGGAAGACATGGTATGGGATGGGAAGGGGTGACGACGAGGTTTGCTGGGAGAACTGGACGGTTAAGGTGACGGTTGCTGAGCCGAGGACTGAGTCAGGTATGTTTGTTTTTTATTGTTCCGTCATCCTTACCAGTTGACAACTACGATAGCTAACATTTTTGTTTTTCTTTCAAAGAACGACACAAAGTCCGCAACGCAATGGAATCCACCCTCCAATCCACCGTCTTCAAATGCATCACCATCGCCAACACCCACAAGGACCACATCCCGCCCATCACCACCAACGATTCCAACCCGTTCACCTACCAGATCAACGTCAACCCACACCACGGCGGCGGCGGCGGCGGCCTCCACGCCACCTCCCAGCAACATCTTCAAAGCGCCAGTAGCAAGGAAGCGGCACGAAGCGATTATGGAAGCTCCGGGAACGGCGCCGGTGGCAGTAGTGGAACTAGCGGCGGAAGCGGGCGAGGAGCAGGCGGGCTAGCAGGTGCCGCGGGCGGTGCGGCAGCGGCAGTCGTTGGATCGTGGGCCACCAGGATGGGTATCTACTAGAAGGATACTAGCCCACCTCGGATCATCAACTCGGCAGGGAGTGTCATTGCAAGCATGGGCATGTCGGTGCGCGATGCGGCTGTCAAGCTGGATGAGATGTGCGCCAGGACGATTGACAGGTGGGATGAAGATTACCAGCAACTTCTGAAGGACGGGGGAAGCAATTTCAGGAACAGGAGGAGAGGAAGAAAGCAGAGAAGGCTGCGAGGAAGTGGGATGAGACGTGGAAAAGAGAGATGAAGTGGCGGGAATCGTTCAAGAGGAAGAGGGACGAGGCGATCAAGGAGGCATGGAAAGAAGAGACCTTGAAAGCAGGGAGGGAGTATGAAGGGGAATGAACGAGCGAGGCTTTCCAGTTTCTGCGCAGGACACCAAAATCACACAAGTGCAGGTTCAGCTTTCAATAAGGTCTTGGGAGTCCGGGGGTATTCAACAATTCAGACCTCATTCGCTCACTATACTATAATTATTTTGCGGGTTTTCATCGGGTTTGGGGATATTTGGAGAAAGGAAGCGAAGAAAGATGCCAACAGCATCATCACCATCATCATCATATCATCAACAACAACAAAGCATGCATGGATTAAGGGCGTTATGGGATTACTTACAAAATGGGGAGAGAAGGTTAAACGGGACTTCAGAAGCAGGACTAAACGAACCGAAACCATAGATATTTCGAGTTACTCTTATTATTTTGGGTACAGCATACGCTTGGACGTAAGGAATTATTCATTTCAAACCCCAATCCCGTCAGATTTTCGATTGTTTATTCTTTATCTTATTTTTCTTACCTGTTCTCTGCTTTGAGATAAAGAGAGAGAGCTTTCGGAATGGGACAATTAACATACACGAAATGTTATTGTGGCACCATTGAATAGGGTACCATAAGAGGTAATGATAATACACACAGGGAGGACACTATTGAACCATACAAGCAAGTATCTACGTGGGAGTTTTGAAGCAGAGTATTTGAGCGTGACACTATAAAGAGGATTAACACATAAAGGCAGTATAGTAACTCATGCCTGGTTTATTTATTTCGGTATGCTGAGCTACCACGGTCGCCGTAGATCTGGCCCTGAAACAAAAAAAGCAAAAGAAGATGGGAAAATCAGATTTTGTGCCACTGTCCAGCGTCACCAATGCCCTCTGACGACGCTAATATCCGACCGAACCCTCAAAGACAGAAAACATACTGGAAACAATCAAGCCATGCCGTATCGCTTTTGCTATGCACGTGAACCAGCCTCAACCGACTGGGCTCAAAACTATCCCTTTCCCTGACCGGGGAAACAACCAAGTCCCTTTCTTTGTATCCATTTCCCATCCTTGAATTCCCAAATCCATAGAAATCCTAACCATCCATACCGCGGAGGGAAAAATCCGAGACGGTTGTTGAAGAACACATCAAATTCTTTCATGCCGTTAACCTGTTCCCCGACTTCATTCCCAAACCCGGCCAAGAAGGCCATAACCCATCCCAGCGAAACCGACCATAAAAGCAAAGAGACCGACCTAAGAAAAGAAAAGAAAAGAAAAGAAAAGAAAAGGGAAAAGGCTTTGCTAAAGGACCTTGGGCAAAGGAAATAGGTACGTATCCGGAGAAGAAAACAGAAAGATCAACAGAAAACTGGTACCAACTGCCATAACGAAGGGCAGAACATTCAATATCCCTTTGCAGGGTCCTGGCTATGATAAGGCGGAAGGAATTTCGAAAGGCAGATGAAAGGGTGGGAAAAGACACGGAACTCTTGTGTGAGTGGAAAGCAAACGCCGTTTATGCAATGTCCTCTGGTGGCCACCGGAATCGACGGCGACGAAATGTTGTTCATTATCATGAGACAAATGTAGTAGAGCTTGATGTTTTTGGTGATTCAAGCCCATTAGTCATATGGGAATGTATGTGTGGCCCGGGTAGGCATGGTCATTATGCCGTGCAAACCCCAACTCGGCGCTATTCAAGGCTGATATCCAGCAAAAGAGCAAATAATAATATGCGACCTAGAAGATGTTGCTGTAGCAGCGACTGTAGGACTGTCTTGGAGGAGGACCTGCTATCGTAGGGGCGTTGTTAACGGGCCGCGAGACATTGGCAGGAGTCGAGCCAATCTTTTCGAACCCTGCAAGCATGTCGATTCCGGAAAACTCGTTATCTTCTAGGAAGTCGGGACCGCAAAGATCGTTCATCATCATCCACGGCTCCAGGTTCTCAAGGTTACCATTGCTCATAGGATTGATCTTGCATGGAGACTCCAGGAATACCTTGCTTGGTGAGGAGGGCATGCCTTCAAACACCTTGCTCGGAGTGCCGGTGTTCAGGTCAACTGGCTGAGAAGGCACTTTGAGAAAGGAAGCCGCGTCGTTACCGTTTCCGCGAGAGAAGTTTGTCATCTCGGTAAGCGCACCGGTCGATTGCGACCTTTCAGGCCGCTGCCGTCTAGCTGACTGTTTGATCGGGGAACCGTTATATTGATTGATGGTGGGCGAGACTCCGAAGTTGTAGTACCCAAAGGGGCTGTCCTGGAAGATGTCGATCTCAGAAGTGACGTTATCTGTCCCGCGCTCGAACCCGAACAGCATGTCATCAAGTGTGAAATTGGGGTTGGGTGTAAGTTGTAGAAGGGAGTCATCTTCGGGTAGCAAGGCGGCTACACGTTGATAAGTAGCGTCAACCATGGACTGGACGCTTTCGCGGTGTAAGCGAAGATTGGTAGTCGGGGATACCGATGGTGGAGGCATAGGTGGTGCCTTTAGTTTCATTGCCGGTGTTAAAGGCGGAAGCATCTGCCCAGACTGGTTGGCCAGAGCTTGACGTAGCGGAGAAGATGAGGGGGGAGCATAGCCGTACGGGCGGCCCTTTGATGGGCTATCGTATGATGATGTTCGAAGGCGAGCGATCTCCTCTTCCGCCCGGCCTGTGCTGACGTGCGAACGATCTGCAGAGTTAAGCACGTTGGAATGCTGACTAGGGCGCAAGATTGAGGAATCAAGCGATGAAATATACCCACTATCGTCCATCGAGGTGGTCCATCTCTTGCGACGTCCTTTTGTCTTTGGTTGGGGTGGTGTTGTGCTATGCCGGGCTTCTACATGCTTGGGAACTGGCGGCGACGAGTGTACAACTGCAGGAAAAGGCGAGTATATATTAGATTCATTCGGAACTGCATTCTCAAATACGCGATATGTGACATCATCTACCGACCCGATCTCGGATGCGGCAATCGTGGCGTCTGATGATAGCTCTGGAAGAAGAGGCATCAATGTGGCCTGTGATGACGACGGGTGAGGGGCCAGTTGAGCTTGTGCCGTGGGTAGCTGCGGCGGTATGACAGGTTCTTCTGGCAGGGACGCCTGAGGTGGCTGAGGTAGTGGTGGTGGTGGTGGTGGTGGTGGTGGTGCCTGAAGTAGCTGTGGTTGAGGTTTGGATGACTGAGATTTGGGTGCTTGTGGTTGAACTCCGAGTGGCTGAGAAGGCTCAAGGCGTGTTGACATCACTGGGAGGTTCTCGGCCGAAGGTGGCGCTTTCCTCGATGGTTTCTCCTTCATAAAGAACTGCTCAGCGCCCGGTTCGATGGCCCAGTAGTTTCCCTTGCCCGGGTCGTCCTTTGGTCGTTCCTGCTTGATGAAATGCTTGTTTAGACTGAGATTGTGTCGAATGCTGTTCTGCCACCCGGAATCTGAGAGTTGGTAAAACGAGAAAGTCTCGGCGATCCACTTGTATATCTGAGATAGCGTGAGGCGCCGTTGTGGTGAGCGTAGAATGGCCATCCCGATAAGCGTAGCATAACTGTGATGAGGTTTTGTTCCATCGTCTATTATCGGAGGAAACGAGCCGGGTTCTGGGATCGGTATAGGCTCGCCAGTATTCTGTTTCTTCGCCGGTCTTGATTCCTTATCGGATGTTGGTGAATCAGTCAAGACTCGTTTTCCGGAAGATTTCTGGTAACAGTTCTCGAGAGGTAGGTTAAACTGGGTCGGCGCTGGGAAGATGATCGTTTGCGGGCTCTGGTCTACAAACTGAAGGTTGGTGAGATCCTGCGCTGGGGGCTTTTGAGCAACCGCCTTGAACCTAGACGTGGGAGGTTTCTTCTGCAGAGAATCTGTTGACGGAGCCAAAGCACCAGGTGGGGGCATCTGAACATTGTTGAGCTTCTTCTGACCTTGAGGGGGTTTTGTCGGGGCAGAGGAAGAATCAGATATCCGTGCGTTTGTCGGCTTCAAGGGTGACTTCTGCAGAGGCGCCATGGCACTTGGTGGTTTAAGCATGACGGTGTTGCTGTTGGCAGGCTGAAGAGGGCGGCGAGGTGGTTTTGCTGCGAGAGGCATCGGAGCCTGGCTGATGACGGGTGTTGTCTGGTCATAGAAATCGTCCCGGTATATTTGAAGTGGCTCGGCCGCCCCATAGCGCACTTGCTTTGCCATCATAGCGGCTGTGGGTGTGAGGTATTCCGGAACGGGAGAAAGAGTCCAGGGATTGAGGCCGGTTCAGGAACAGGTAGCAAACAACGAGTCGGTGCTTACTGTTCCGTCACAGCGGACACTGATGTTTTGGTGATGGTGATGTTGCTGACATGCGCAGCCTGGTTTTTCGAGGCAGCGGCCCTGAGAAATTCGAAACTGGACCGGGGGTGAAGTCGAATCGTGTGGTTCTTGGGGCCGGTATGTTGCGATTGAATATTGGTTGGCGAATGAGGTGGTCGTCAAGATGATTTGCGGTTGTTGACCAGGCCGGAGATATGAACGAGTGTCGGTTTGTGAGGTGGCCTATGTCGATGTCGTAGGGGTGTAAAAAGCCAAGAGACCGTCCGTGGCCGTTGATGATCCGGATAGATGTAGAAGGAAGCTAGTCCGTGGAGTTAGATGTAGGAAAGTGGAAAGGAAGTGGAACAAGAAGCACTGGGCTGAAGCCGTCTTTGGGTTGGCGGGTAATAAAGTGCCGTAAAATGATGAGAATGGGCCAGTCCAAGCGAGCAGATGGGAGAAGGACGGGACTGGGAGGG